GCCATCCCAGGCCGGTCTCACCCTTTTGTGATGAAGGTGGCATGCAGGCAGCGGTGCACGGAAATGATTGTGTGTCTCTAGTGTGTGTTGTGTTGTGTTTTCAGCCTGGGGGCCCATAAGCAAGAGCCTCTCCCTCTCTCTTTTTGAATATTCTTTGCTGGGAAAACCCATTTTAAAAAGTTTTTTTTTCCCTCTTGTCTCTTGCAATCAACCCAAGGGAAGCCCTGTCTGCCTGCCTGCCTGCTGCCTGGGCAGATCCCTTTTTGATCCCTGCAGGATCAAGGCAAACAGCTGGCGGCTTTGTTCCTCCCCCCTCCCTTTCCCTTCCCCTCCCCTCCCCAAAACACACAAGGGCACATTTCCTTCTCTCCTTTGCCTGGCCTTTGGGGCAAAGATGGCGAGGGGACCGGGGGGGGGGCGCTCTGGGACATCCTGGGACTCAGGAGGGGGTGTCCCCCTTTAAAATAATAAACTAAAGTTTTGTTTTGGAGTGTGGGGGGGACGGGAGAACGGAGCAGCTGAATTAAGCCGGTTTAACTTTTGCAAGAGTTTGGCAGGAAGCATTTCTTAACTGTAGCAACGTCAAAATGAATGGACTTCAAACTCCCAGAATTCCCCAGCCAGCCAGCCAGCCAGCCAGCCATGCTGATGGGGAATTCTGGGAGTTGAGGTCACCCAATTTATAGCTGCTAAGTTTGAAATAATACTGACTTAAATACGGACCAATAGGATATAGGTCATAGCTGGGAATTTCCTAGGCAGCCTGCTTTCAGGTGGGTGGACTTCAATTCCCAGAATTCCCAGCCAGCCATATTTATTTATTTATTTATTTATTTATTTATTTATTTATTTATTATATTTCTATACCGCCTTTCTCCCGTAGGACTCAAGGTGGTGTACAGTCAACAAAAATATAGATACACAAACATCATAAAATTGCTAATTAAAATTATTATTATAACATAGTTTGGCCCAACCCAATTAATTAAATTAGATAACATTTTAAAAACATTCACAATATGTTGAAGTCCACATGTTTTACAGTGGCCAAAGTTGGAAAACACTGGTCTTAACTAGGCCCGAAAAAAGGAGATTTTTCTGAAGAATTGAAGGCCATCCATCTTAAAAGCCTGCTGGGCTGGGGAATTATGGGAGTTGAAGTCCACCCATCTTTAAAGCCTGCTGGCTGGGGAATTATGGGAGTTGAGGTCCACCCATCTTTAAAGCCTGCTGGCTGGGGAATTATGGCGTTGAGGTCCACCCATCTTAAAGCATGACGGATGGGGAATTATGGGAATTGAGGTCCACCCATCTTAAGGCATGCTAACTGGGGAATTCTGGGAGTTGAAAATTTTGGACTCAGCCTGCAAAAAAAAACTTTTTAAAATGGGAACATTGCAACTGTGAGGTAAATCTTCTTCATTTTGGGATCCAAGAAAATGGGGAGATCTGTTTGCAGAGATGAAGTTTGGTTTGGCTGAAAGTTGCCTCCTGGGAAATCTCTCCGCAGGTTAAGATGAAAGAGAAAAGAAATCCGTTGGACGATGGATCTGACCTTGACCAACGGGGACTGCAGCGACTCGGACCCTGCCCCCGAGGAGAACGATGCTGCAGGTACCTTTGCGCCAGGAGGCCATCAAGTTTGGGGAAGGCTGGAGCCCCTGCTTTGACCCTGGGGTCATCACTCAGGTGCTGGAAAGTGGGTGGGCTTGCCTTGTCTGGGGGCGAAGGGAAGGAAGGGACCAAAGGACTTCCTTCCAGAAAGTCCAGTTGCCTCTTGAAAAAGCACCTTTGGGACAAACCTGGAGGACCTGGAGAATCTCCATAGAGGGAGGGAGAAAGGAGGTAGAAGAGAAGGGAGGGAGGAGGGAAGGAGGAAGGAGGACGAAAGGAAGGAAGGAAGGAGGAAGGGAGGATAAAGAAGGAAGGAGGAAGAAAAGAGAAGGGAAGGAGGGATGGAGGCAGGCAGGCAGGAAGGAAGGAGGAGAACAGAGGGAGGATAAAAAGAGGAAGAAAGGAAGGAGGAGAGAGGGAGAGATGAAGGAGGGAGGAGGGGAGGGGAGAGTAAAAGGAAGGGGAGGGAAGGGAGGAAGGAGAAGCTAGGTAGAATAAAAAGGGAGGGAGGATAAAGAAGGAAGGAGGGAGGAAGGAAAGGGAAGGAGGGATGAAAGGCAGGCAGGAAGGAGAATGGAGGGAGGATAAAAAGAGGAAGAAAGGAAGAGGAGAGAGGGAGAGATGAAGGGAGGGGAGAGTAAAAAAGGAAGGAGAAGCTAGGGAGAATAAAGAGAGGGAGGAAGAAAGGGAGGAGGATAAGGAAAGAGGGAGGAAGAAAAGGGATGGAGGAAGAAGGAAGGAAGGAAAGAGAAGGGACGGAGGATAAGAGGAAGAAAGAAAGAGAGGGAAGGAAGGAAGGAGGAGGGAGAGTAAAGAGAGAGGAAGGAACAAAATAAGAACAAAAGAAGGAAGGGAGAAGAGAAAGTTTGGGTGGAAAATGTGTTAGAAGAAGCTCCTTGGGTCAAAGAAGGAGACATCTTGATAGTCTCCAGATCTGCTTGGTTAGGAAAGGACCAACCTTGACAACTGAAGTCCACCCATCTTCAAGGTTGAAAAAACGCTACTCTTGGAGCCTCCCAGGAATCTCTCACCTGGAAGTAGTCCTTGACATGTGACCACAATTGGGACCAGACCTTTAAGTGAGACAGTTATTATCTGAGTCACACCCAATTTCACAACCTTTCTTTGCTTAACAACCGCCACATAAAAGGTTATAAAATTGGATGTGACTCAGATAATGACCATCTCACTTCGTGACGGCTGTGGTTGCAAGTCGGAGGGCGGCCTGCACTTTGTGAACCCAGGAAAGGCCATTTTTGCTTGGCCAGGTGCCCGCAGCAGAGAGTTGGAGGCACGTGGAGCCTCTGACGGGCTTCAGAAGTAGACGTCTTGCAGTTGCAGAGAGGAAAAGGCTCTCCCCCTGGGGGCCGCCAGTCGACATTGTTTGGCTGACGGCACCCTGAGAAGCCCCTCTCTATGGGAGCGTACTGGGCGGTGAGAGGCTATTGGTGGCAGAAGGCGGTCTCGTAAGTACCCCGGTCCTAAGCCATGGAGCGCTCTAAAGGTGGTAACTAAGACCTTGAAGCGCACCCGGAAGACCACAGGGAGCCAGTGCAGCTCGCGCAGGAGGGGAGCCACATGGGAGCGCCATGCTGCTCCCATAACTACCCGCGCGGCCGCATTCTGGACCAGCTGGAGCCTCCGGGTGCTCTTCAAGGGGAGCCCCATGTAGAGAGCATTACAGTAGTCCAGGCGTGAAGTGACGAGGGCATGAGTGACCGTTTTTAACGAGTCCCGATCCAGAAAGGGACGCAACTGGCGAATCAGGCGAACCTGATAAAAAGACCTCCCGGCCACAGCCGTCAAGTGTTCTTCTAAAGGCAGCCGTGAGTCCAGGAGGACACCCAAGTTGCGAGCCCTCTCCGTGGGTTTAAAACTCCAAAAGGCGCTGGACTTGCTGGCTGGGATATTCTGGAAGTTGAGGTCCCCAAACTTCAGGATGGTCAAAAGTGGAGAAACTGATTGGTCTAGATCAGGGGTGGGGGAACCATGGGCCGCTTTATGACTTGTGGACCGGCTGAGGAATTCTGGGAGTTGAAGTCCACAAGTCGTAAAGGGGCCAAGGTCGGAGATCCCTGCTGTTACGGGAGCCAGACTTAAAGGCCTGGGTGGAAGCTCAAAGCAGCTTTTCTCCAGGAAGGCTGTCCAAGGCTCCTGGACTCCAGTGCCTATAATTCCCAGCCCTTGGGCTAACACAGGGGTCTGCAACCTTAAAAAGAGCCATTCGGACCTGTTTCCCACAGAAAAGAAAACACCGGGAGCCACAAAACCTGAGTGGGCGTGGCCAACTCGATGTCACTCACTTCCACCAGTCACATGACCCCCCCACCCCAGCCATGCCTACCCAGTTGGTCATTAGGGCAGAGAACCAGTTGTTAAAAAACACCGGGAACCACACAATCCTTTTGACATCTCTCTCTCTCGCCTCCCTCCCCCTCTCCCTCTCTCTCTTTATCTCTCTGTCCCTCTCTCTCTCTCCCCCCCTCTCTCTGTATCTCTCTGTCTCTCTCTCTCTCCCTCTTTCTCTGTCTCTCTGTCTCTCTCTCCCTCTTTCTCTGTCTCTCTGTCTCTCTCTCCCCCCTCTCTCTGTATCTCTGTCTCTCTCTCCCTCTCTCTGTATCTCTCTGTCTCTCTCTCCCTCTCTCTATCTCTCTGTCTCTCTCTCTCTCCCTCTCTCTCTGTATCTCTGTCTCTGTCTCTCTCTGTCTCTCTCTCCCTCTCTCTGTATCTCTGTCTCTCTCTCTCTCCCTCTCTCTATATCTGTCTCTCTCTCTCCCTCTTTCTCTGTATCTCTGTCTCTCTCTCTCCCTCTCCCTCTGTATCTCTCTGTCTCTGTCTCTCTCCCCCCCCCTCTCTCTGTATCTCTCTCTCCCCCCTCTCTCTGTATCTCTCTCTCTGTCTCTCTCTCTCTCTTTCTCTGTATCTCTCTCCCTCTCTCTCTCCCTCTCTGTATCTCTGTCTCTCTCTCTCTCCCTGTATCTCTCTGTCTCTCTCTCTTTCTCTCCCTCTCTCTGTATCTCTCTGTCTCTGTCTCTCCCTCTTTCTCTGTATCTCTCTGTCTCTCTCTCTCTCCTCCCCTCTCTCTGTATCTCTCTGTCTCTCTCTCTTTCTCTCCCTCTCTCTCTGTATCTCTCTGTCTCTCTCTCCTCCCCTCTCTCTGTATCTCTCTGTCTCTCTGCCCTGGCCGTTTCTCCATCCCCTGCCATCACCCTCACCTTCTCAGGCCAGGCGAGGAGTGACTGGGAGGGGAGGGCGAGGGGCGAGGCCAGCCAATGGTGGGATCACCTGACAGGGAGCCACAGCAGAGGGCCCAAAGAGCCACATGCGGCTCCCGAGCCGCAGGTTGCTGACCCCTGGGATAGGAACGAAGAGTTGAGACACAAAACACTGCGAGAAATCTCTGATCTGGAAAGCTGGCTTGGAAAAACGCAAGAAAATGAACGAAAAGCATGCCTATAAAAGAAGAGAGAGAGAGAGAGAGAGAGGAGTAGGAGTAGAATAAACTCAACATATTTATCCTCGTTTTTTTTTTTTTGTTGTTGTTGTTCTAGAGCAGTCCAAGTTACAAGTGGTTGCTGCCCCGCGAGACTTCCTCTCTTTTTTGACATGTTGTCGCCATCACACTTCGGACTGGGGCCAGGCTCTCTCTCTTGTTATGTACACACCGCCCACACAGTTTTTACATGTTTATTTCCTTCTTCTGACCTTTTGCCTCATCCATTTTGGTGAGTCACCGCTGGATTTTGTACAACGGAGCAAATCTGGATTGACCTCCAGGGGGCAGGAGAGGGTGAGGAGATTTCGGCGTCTCTCTGCTACCACCTGGTGGCCCCAAAGGAGGTGTGTGCAGATTGGATCTGCTGCGTTTTGGGAATCATACCTACGGGCACCTTGCCACTTAACTTCAGGGCTCCCTCTCTCTCTTCCTTCTTCGCGCCTTCACTCCCACGGTTTCCTCTCTGCTTTGGAATTGCCATGCAAAACACTGCGTCATTTCTAGAAAGTCAGAGGCAACTATAGTCAAAAAAACACCCTCAGCCTGCCTCAGCCCCTCCTGAACGCAGTAAAACCCAGGCACCGAGACAAGGACGATAGCCTTTGCTGGAAGGGCTGCAAAAGAGTTCAGGAGCCGTGGCATGGCGTGGCTCAGCTGCTAAGAAACCACCCCGTTTGCAAAACAGACAGCGCCTGGTCGGTGCCTAGCGTGACAGTTCCCACTTTAGGAAGCCTGGGGGGGAAAATAAAATAAAAAGGAAAAGGAAGGAAGGAAAGAAAGAAGGAAGGAAGGAAGGAAGGAAACAAGGAAGGAAGGAAAGGAGGGAAGGAAGGCAGGGAGGGAGGGAGGAAAGAAGGAAGGAAGGCAGGAAGGAAAGAAGGAGGGAAGAAAGAAGGAAGGAAGGAAGGCAGGAAGGAAGGAAAAGGGAGGAAAGAAGGGAAGGAGGGAGAGAGGAAAGAAGGAAGGAAGGAAAGAAAGAAGGAGGGAGGAAAGAAGGAAGGAAGGAAGGAAAGAAAGAAGGAGGGAGGGAGGAAGGAAGGAAGGCAGGAAGAAAGGAGGGAGGGCGGAAAGAAGGCAGGAAGGCAGGAAAGAAGGAGGGAGGAAAGAAGGAAGGAAGACAGGAAGGAAGGAAAGGAGGGAGGGAGGGAGGAAGGAAGGCAGGAAGGAAAGAAGGAGGGAAGAAAGAAAGAAGGAAGGAAGGCAGGAAGGAAGGAAAGAAGGAGGGAGGAAAAAGGAAGGAAGGGAGGGAGGAAAGAAGGAAGGAAGGAAAGAAAGAAGGAGGGAGGAAAGAAGGAAGGAAGGAAAGAAAGAAGGAGGGAGGAAGGAAGGAAGGAAGAAAGGAGGGAGGGAGGGAGGAAAGAAGGCAGGAAGGCAGGAAAGAAGGAGGGAGGAAAGAAGGAAGGAAGACAGGAAGGAAGGAAAGGAGGGAGGGAGGAAGGAAGGAAGGGAGGGAGGGAGGAAGGAAGGAAGGAAAGAAGGAGGGAGGGAGGAAGGAAGGAAGAAAGGAGGGAGGGAGGGAGGAAAGAAGGCAGGAAGGCAGGAAAGAAGGAGGGAGGAAAGAAGGAAGGAAGACAGGAAGGAAGGAAGGAGGGAGGGAGGGAGGAAGGAAGGAAGGAAGGAAGGAAGGAAGGAAGGAAGGAAGGAAGGAAGGAAGGAAGGAGTCTTCCAGTATTTGAGGGGCTGCCACAAAGAAGAGGGGGTCAAATTATTCTCCATAGCACCGGAAGGCAGGACAAGAAACAATGGATGGAAACTAACCAAAGAGAGAGGCAGACTGGAATTAAGGAGAAACTTACAGGGAGGACAATTAACCAGAGGAACACTTACGACTGTGGTAGCCTCCCCAGGATCATGTGATTTTACATTCGGATGCTTCATAACTGATTCACACTTATGACGGTCGCAGTGTCCTGGTGTCACCCGATCCCCACCTTCTGACAAGCAATGTCAGCAGGATTCACTTAACAACCGTGTGATTCATTCAATAACTGCGGCGATTCACTTAACAACGGCGGCAAGAAAGGTCGTAAAATGGAGCAAAAAACTCACTTAACAAGTTTCTCACTGAACGGCATACACGTTGGGCTCAATTGGGGTCGTAACTTGAGGACTGCCTGTAGTATTCCTTTCTCGCCTTCTCTCTTTTTCCTTCTTTGGAAAAAAGAGCTTCCCAGATAGGCAAATTGTTTCAATAGCCTGACTGGTGGCAGGTTATTATAATTCTCTTTTTCTGGGGTGAGGTTTTAAATTACGTATCCTCTTAAGTTTGGAACACAAGGGACTGGCATATTTCCAACCAACCCAACCCACACACAGTTGTATCTTTTGTCGAAATGTACACGAGCAGCAGAAACTATTTTTAAAATAGTCTTTCAAAATCCCTGAATTCGATCTTGGATTCTACCAGCTTTTCTCCAGAGCCAAGGAATAGAAATTATAATTTTTTTTGTTCTGCTGGTCTATGTTGACTGAATAAAGATAATTATTAAAAAATCCCTGAATTCGGTCTTGGATTCTACCAGCTTTTCTCCAGAGCCAGGGAATAGAAATTATAATTTTTTTGTTCTGCCAGTCTATGTTGACTGAATAAAGCTTGATAGATAATTTTTATTCTCTTTTATTGAAGATAAATAATGAGGACTTTTCTTTCCCCTGGACACCAGGCCAGGAAATCAACTCCACAGGAAGATTAAAACTATTTTTTATTGAGATTAGCTATAAGGACAGAATCTTGCAAATCTGATTGTGCGACACAGCTTCCTCCTCCTTATACGCCAGTGAATTAGGGGAGGGTGTCTTGTCTGAGCTGCTTCTGAATATTATCTCATTGTTCTGGACTTAAAAATTGTTTTCAGCCCCCTTTGCCTACAAAACAGTTCCATTAATGTCATCTTCCTTACTCTCTACAGCAGTGTTTCTCAACCTTGGTCGCTGGACGATGTGTGGACTTCAACTCCCAGAATTCCACTGGAGTTCCGCTGGCTGGGGAATTCTGGGAGTTGAAGTCCACACATCGTCCAGCGGCTATGGTTGAGAAACACTGCTCTACAGGAAAGGAAGAGGTACCCAGAGGCTTAAATACGATAACTACCTCCCAGAAATGTGATTGTTTAAAATCCACCTGAAAGTCCACATTTCATCCCAAGCAGATATCCAACGAAAGCCTAATCTGAAAGTATTTCTCTGTTTCTAGGTAGTCCTTGAATTACGACCACAACTGAGCCCAAAATTTCCTTTGCTACGTGAAACCTTTGTGAAGTGAGTTTGGCCTCGTTTGACGACCTTCCTTGCCACAGCTGTTAAGGGAATCACTGCAGTTGTTAACTCACTTTTCAGTGCTGCTGTAACTTCCAGTAGTAATAGCAGTAGCCCTTAGATGTATATACCGCTTCACGGTGCTTTCCAGCCCTCTCCAAGCGGTTTACAGAGTCAGCCTGTTGCCCCCAACTATCTGGGTCCTCATTTTACCAACCCTGGAAGGATGGAAGGCTGAGTCAACCTTGAGCCGGTGAAACTCGAACTCCTGGCAGTCGGCAGAGTCAGCCTGAAATACTGCATTTTAACCACTGTGCCACCAGGACCCCCCCCCCCCCCTTCCTTTCTCCTCCCCTCCTTCCTTCCTCCCCTCCTTCCTCCCTCCCTCCTATCTTTTCCTTCCTTCCTTCCTTCCTCCTTCCTTCCTTTTTTTCCTTCCTTCCTTCCTTCCCTCCCTCCTTCCTTTTCCTTCCTCCTTCCTTCCCTCCCTCCTTCCTTTTTCTTCCTTCCTTCCTTCCTTTTCCTTCCTTCCTTTTCCTTCCTTCCTTCCTTTTCCTTCCTTTTCCTTCCTTCCCTCCTTCCTTTTCCTTCCTTCCTTCCTTCCTTTTCATTCCTTCCTTCCTTCCTTCCCTTCTTCCCACTTAGCAAAACCTGCACAAAGTTCAGAAGCAAGAGAGGCTGACAAGAAACAAATGTAGCAACCTTGTTTTCCTACAAAGATCCCAAGAGCCATTGCTGCTCTTTTAAGCCTTATGGGAGGGGCCAATCATCTCCTGGCCTTACTCCCAAGTCGTCCTTTTTGCTTTAGCTGCTCCTGCCTTCTGGCAGCTCTTCTCATGCGTGCACTAGGAACAGGCTCCTCCTGTTCCTCTGCCTCTGTGCTCTCAGCCTCTGGAGGCTCCGGAATCCGTGCATCGCTCCCAGATGGTCCTGGCCCCATCTCTGTTTCCGACGCAGAGCCCTTGTCTGGGACTTCCCCAGACTCTAGGACTGGCCCATGGTCCTCCCCAGCCTCCTCACTGTCTGACTCCACTGCCAGCTCCACAGGCTGCTGGCGGACCACAACAGGATGGAAGGCTGAGTCAATCTTGAGCCCTGTGAGATTCGAACTGCCAAATTGCAGGCAGCCGGCAGTCAGCAGAAGCAACCTGCAGTACTGCACTCTGACCACTGCGTGACTCACTAAATGAATGTTTGTAAGTCAAGGATTGGCTGTCCTGCCATTGTTCCAAAAATTGGAAGTTTGATCATCAGGCCGCAGAAATCCTGGTGATGCCAGAATGAGAATACGTGCTGCCTTTATGTGTTTCTGATTTGACACATGACACAGGTTGTGGCGATGTCCTCCCACACACATGTCCTCCTGTCCTCCCTGCCCTCTGCTCCGTGGCTGTCCACCTTTTCCAAACCAAGAAGCATTCAATTCTTCCAACGCTTTCCCAAAGGAAGCCAGAAGAACCACTTCCAAGCACCTCCTGTTAGGAGAGCTGAGTCATTCCCAAGTCTGGGAAAAGATCTCCGGCCTTTAAGGAGCATTAAGTGCTTTAATTAAGCTCTGGATTACCTCTTAGTTGCCAGCTCATAGCTCCATTTATGGTCATCAAAGCATCACGGTATTATTGCAAAGGACAGCTCACGTCTATAGATGTAGGGGCAATTTAAACAACATTGTTTATTTGAAAACGCCTTTTCTTTTTACAGGCATAGGTTAACCAGGTGATAAAGCAAGGATCTATCTATCTATCTATCTATCTATCTATCTATCTATCTATCTATCTATCTATCTATCTATCTATCTTTTTATCTATCTATCTATCTATCTTTTTATCTATCTATCATCTATCTATCTTTCTGTCTTTCTATATCTATCATCTATCTATCTATCTATCTATCTATCTATCTATCTATCATCTATCTATCTATCTATCTATCGTCTATCTATCCATCTCTATCTATCATCTATCTATCTATCTAATCTAATTTATCATCACTGTCAATCACCCATCCATCCTTCCCTCCTTCCCTCCATCCATCCATCCATCACATCTATCCATCCATTATCTATCTACTCTTTCATTCGTCTGCCTGTCTGTCTCCACCATTCATCCATCCATCCATCCATTATCTATCTACCGGTATTCTCTCATCTGTCGTCAATTGTTTCATATTTGTCCATCCATCCATCCAATTAAATAAGAGCCAGCAGTGTGCAGCAGCAGCCAAAAAAGCCAATGCAATCCTAAAATGCATTAACAGAGGGATGCAATCAAGGTGAAGGGAGGTACTAATACCACTCTATAAAGCCTTAGCAAGACCACACCTAGAGTGCTGCATCCAGTTTTGGTCACCACACTATAAAAAAAGAGGCTGAGACTCTAGAAAGAGTGCAGAGAAGAACAACAGAGATGATTAGGGGACTGGAGGCTAAAACATACGATGAACGGTTGCAGGAACTGGGCCTGGCTAGTCTAGTGAAGAGAAGGACCAGGGGAGACGTGATAGCAGCCTTCCAATATTTGAGGGGCTGCCACAGAGAGGAAGGGGGTCAAGCTATTTTCCAAAGCACCTGAAGGCCAGACAAGGAATAATGGATGGAAACTGATCAAGGAGAGATTCAACCTAGAAATAAGGAGAATTTTTCTGACAGTGAGAACAATCAACCCATGGAACAGAAGTTGCCTTCGGAAGTCGTGGGAGCTTCATCACTGGAGGCTTTCAAGAAGAGATTGGACTGTCCTCTGTCAGAAATGGTGTAGGGTCTCCTGCTTGGGCAGAGGGTTTGACTAGATGACCTTCAAGGTCCCTTCCAACTCTGTTAATCTGTCTCAGTCCTTTCATATATGTCCGTCCATCCATCTATATCTAATTTTTTTCTTCTAGGAGCTTCTTGTGAGACCTGAAGAAAATGTCCCTTAAATGTAACAAGGGTTTTTAGGGAAAAATTATTTCACTTCAGTGCAAAATTCCACTCTATTGCCAGGAAGAATGCAAAGAATAGTACAGTACATCTGAACATGTACAAAGTACTTTAAAAAAAAAAAAGGCTACAAAATGGCCATGCTCTTAAAGTGAGGTCTTTTTTTTTTAATGCATAAATCTACAGAGAATCCAGCTATAAAATAGGTCAGCGGGGGCACTTGGCAGGTTAATTTGTCTTGATTTAGCAAAATTGCAAAAGATTGCCAACCAGATATTTATTTATTCACGTGGAACATTGTCCAAACAGATTTTTAGCATTGCTGGACTGGCCAGAAAGCAGGAGAAAGGTTGTGTTTGCCCAACTTGCTTAAACCATATTGTGAATTACTCCATTTTTTGAACATGTTAAACTAAGCCAAGGAAATCAGATCCGGGTTGCAAAACCACTGTGTGGGAGTAAAAAACAGATCGCCTAACTCAGTAGCTCTCAAACTTGGCAACTTTAAGCTGGGTGGACTTCAACTCCCAGAATTCCCCAGCCAGCAGCCAGCAAGCAAGGTAGCTGGGGAATTCTGGGAGTTAAAGTCCACCCAGCTTAAAGTTGCCAAATTTGAGAAACTTGGGCTTAGCATACAGGTAGTCCTCGACTTACAACAGTTCATTTAGTGACCGTTCGAAGTTACAAGGGCACCGAATAAAGTGACCTAGGACCATTTTTCAGACTTACGACCGTTGCCGCCTCCCCGTGGTCAACATGATTTACCTTCGGATGCTTGACAACTTGACTCACACTTATGACGGTTGCACTGTCCTGGGTTCATCACACGATCCCCTTTTGCGACCTTCTGACAAGCAAAGTCCACGGATTCCCTTAAGAACCGGGTCACTAACTGAACAACTTCGCTGATTCACTTAACCACCGTGGCCAGGAGAAGTCGTAAAACGGGGCAAAACTCCCTTCGCACATTTCTCACTTAATGGCATAAGTTTTGGGGCTCAGTCGTGGCCGTAAATCGAGGACTATCTGCTATTAAGCCAAACCAAGCCATCCATCCATCTCTAGGCATTTTTGCAATTCGCTCCAAACTCGAAAAGCGCGCGGCGGCCCCTTTAAGACGCCCCCCCACTCTCTGCTCACTCCTCTCGCCTCCCCTCCCTTCCCCCAAGAGGTGAAAAAAAAACACCGCTCTATACTTCCGGCTCCAGGGCGAACATCTTACTTTAGAGGGCGTGCGTGGCCGAGACCCACCCAAGAGAGGCGAGCGGCAACCGGAAGTGAAGGCCGGGCAGAGCGCGCCTCTATTTCCTTCCCTCCCTTCCTTTCCTTCCGTCCCCTTCCGCCCACTCTATGGTTCCTCCTCCTCCTCCCCGGTTCGCGGCGGCTGACAAGATGGCGGCGTCGGGCCTAGGCTTCGGCCCAGGGTCGTCGTCGGGGCTCCTCGGGAGCCGGGTCCTGGCCTACACCCTCCACCGCTGGAGCAGCTTCTCCTCCACCTACCTGCCAGAGTGAGTAGGCCGAGGCGGGGAGGGGGGGGGGGTGGGGGGAAAGCCCTCAAGGCCAGCCCCCTCCCCCCCTCCGCTGGTGGGGGGGGAGGTCTGGGACCACCGCCCCATCTTCCCCGGCTGAAGGAGGGCGCGGAGGATGGGCTGGCGGGTCCACAACCCTGGTGGTGGTGAGGGTTTGTTTCTCTTCTGAGGGGGAGGGGGGAGGAGCAGCATCCGGGGACTTTCTCCTTTCCCTCCCCCCCCCTTTTCCTGCTCTCCCAGGAGGGGAGGGGGGGGCCCGACCCCATTAACCCCCCCCCCCCCCCCCCAAAAGGCCGTGGCAAGGGGGAAGGAAGGCTGGAGGGGGGGGGAGGGGGAAGGGGAGGGGCTTCTCTGTTTGTGGGGGTTCTGCCACCCCCCGCCCCCCACCTGGGGTCTCTTAGGTAAGGAGGCCGCCTCTGGATTGCTGGGGGTGGGTGGGAGGGTGGGGGGAGGTTGAGTTACTGAAGGAAGGAAGGTGGCCTGGAGAGGAGGATGGAGAAGGTCCATCCAACTCTAGGGAGTCTTCCATGGGATGCTCAGGGGATGGTCCGAGCGGCCTTGAGTCTTAGGGATCGAGTGGATCTTGTGGGCGAGGATCTGTCTCCCACCTTGTGGCGGGCCTGGCAATGGGGTCTTACGTTGCCGCTGGAATCGGGGTCCTCCTCCTCCTCCTCCTTGTTGATCTTCTTCATCCTCCTCCTCCTCGTTGTTGTTGTTCTTCCTCTTCTTCCTCCTCTTCTTTCTCTTCTTCCACTTCTTCCTCTTCTGCTTCTTCCTCCTCTTCCTCCTCCTCTTCTTCTTCCTCCACTTTTTCCTCTTCCTCTTCCTCCTCTTCTTCCTCCACTTTTTCCTCCTCTTTTTCCTCTTCTTCTCCTCCTCTTCTTCCTCCACTTCTTCCTCTTCTTTTTCCTCTTCTTTCTCTTCTTTCTCTTCTTTCTCCTCCTCCTCTTCCTCCACTTCTTCCTCTTCTGCTTCTACTTCTTCCTCCTCCTTTTCTTCCTCCACTTCTTCCTCTTCTTTTTCCTCTTCTTCTTTCTCTTCTTCCTCCTCCTCTTCTTCCCCCTCTTCTTCCTCTTCTTTTTCCTTTTCTTCTCCTCCTCTTCTTCCTCCACTTCTTCCGCTTCTTCCTCTTCTGCCTCCACTTCTTCCTCTTCTACTTCTGCTTCTACTTCTACTTCTTCCTCCTCATCTTCTTCTTTCTCTTCCTCCTCTTCGTCTTCCTCTTCCTCCTCTTCTACTTCTTCCTCTTCTGCCTCCACTTCTTCTACTTCTACTTCCTCCTCCTCCTCTTCTTCCTCTTCTACTTCTTTCTCTTCCTCCTCTTCTTCCTCCACTTCTTCCTCTTCTATTTCTACTTCTACTTCTACTTCTTCCTCTTCTACTTCCTCCTCTTCTTCATCTTCCTCCTCCTCCTCCTCTTCACCTTCCTCTTCCTCCTCTTCTTCCTCCTTCCTCTTCTTCCACTTCTACTTCTTCCTCTTCTACTTCCTCTTCCTCCTCTTCTTCTTCCTCTTCTTCCTCTATCTCTTCCTCTATCCTTCTCATCCTCCTCCTCCCTTTCCCAGCAATTAGAGCCTTTGAGCAGAGCTAGGCGTTGGTTACATGTGGCATCCCATTGGTGCTGATTCCAAGAGGCCACTTAGATGATCTGTCTCCAACCTGGTTCTTCAGGTCTTTTTTTTTTTTTAATTATTTTTTTTTACAGAATACAGTTGGAAGGGACCTTGGAGGTCTTCTAGTCCAACCCGTCTATCCCCGTTCTCCACTGTCTCCCAGAGTTCCCCCAAATTCATGTTGGTTGTACCTAGCCATCTCATCCTCTGCCTTCTCCTTCTTTCTCTGTCTTCCGTCTTTCCCAACATCAGAATCGGAATAGAGCTGGAAGGGACCCTGGAGGTCTTCTAGTCCAACCCCATGCCCAAGCAGGCGACCCTATACCATTTCAGACAAGTGACTGTCCAGTCTCTTCTTAAAAACCTGTGATGATCCACCCACAACTTCTAGAGGCAAGCTGTTCCACTGGTTAATTGTCCTCAATGTTATGAAGTTTCTCCTTAATTCCAGGTTGCTTCTCTCCTTGATTAGTTTCCGTCCATAGTTTCTTGTCCTGCCTTCTGGTGCTTTGGAGAATAAGTTGACCTTCCTCTTCTTTGTGGCAGCCCCTCAAATACTGGAATATTTCAATCATGTCCCCCCCCTCCCCCAGTCCTTCTTTTCTCTAGACTGGCCAAACCCAAATCCTGCAACCATTCTTCATATGTTTTTGTCTCCAGGCTTTTAATCATCTTAGCTGCTCTTCTTTGCACTTTCCCCCCCCAAAGTCTCAACATCTTTTGTCTCCTGTAATCTGGCTGTTGTTTTCAAAAGCAACCAACTAACTTTTATAAGGGTACCAGAGTTTTGGGGGCTGTGCATGTTTTCCCCAACCGTAGGTCTTTCTTTGTGCAAGCAGAGTCTACTTTCTTATTAGCTTTTCCCGCATAAAGATCTCTTTTAAGTTCAGACGAGAGGAAGCGGCACAATGGGGTGATGTAAACTCAGGACAAGGTACATACTGAGAACTGAGTATGAAAAATTAGACTTAGAGTAACTTGATTGTCACTTTGAATGTACACAATCGGCCTGCAGTAAAATGAAATTTTAATCAAAATGGAAATTGCAAGGAAGCACAGATATTTCGAAGATGTCTGCCTGGAATAGGAGGAAAACAGGACCTTGCAAAGAACTTTGGGGTGTGTGTGTGTGGAAAGTGTTGCTATTGCCAAATAAAAGTAGTCCTTGACTTACGACCACCACGGGGGACCAGAATTTCCGTTGCTATGCAAGGAGGTTGTTAAATGAGTCGTGCTCGATTTGATAGCTTTTTGCCACAGTTAAGTGAATCACATTGTTAAGTGAATCATGCAGTCATTAAACGAATCCAGTTTCTCCCATCGACTTTGCATGTTGGAAGTTGGCGGAGAAGGCCTCAAATGCCAATCACCTGACGCCGGGTGCTGCAAATACAGGTAGTCCTCGACTTACAACAGTTCATTTAGCGGCCAAAGTTACAACGGCACTGAAAAAAAAAAAAAGGACCTGTGACCATTTTTCACACGACCGTTGGGGCATCCCCATGGTCACGTCATTTACATTCGGATGCTTGGCAACCGACTCACATTTATGACGGTTTTGCAGTGTCCCGGAATCACGTGATCCTCTTCTGTGCGACCTTCTGGAAAGGAAAGTCAATGGGGAAGCCCGATTTGCTTTAACAACCATGTTGTTCATTCAAGGACGGCATTGATTCGCTTAACCAACGTGGCGAGGAAAGTCGTAAAACGGAGCAAAAGTCACTTAACAAGTGTCTCGCTTAACGACAGACATTGGGCTATGCTGGTTGCTAAACGTGCAATTTTTGATCACGTGACTATGGGGATGCTGCAAAGGGTGGTCGTAAGTCACTATTTTCAGTGCCATCGTATCTTTGAATGGTCAGTAAGCGAATGGATGTAAGTCGAGGACGACCTGTAAATTAATGGGGCATGTAAGAAACGGAGTATAAGAAACCTATGAGTACCAAGTGTTGCTTAATTATTCCATTTATATCCATCTCTTCCTTGTGTATGAACTTTTTACAGATTAAGTGTTGGAAGGGACCTTGTAGGTCATCTAGTCCAACCCTACCCAAGCAGGAGACCCTACACCATTTCTGACAAATGGCAGTCCAGTCTCTTCTTGAAAGCCTCCAGTGATACCTTTGCCTCATCTGCGTCCATGAACGACATTCAGTTTAAACTCTTGCAAACCTAATTTTTATTTATTATTATTATTAACAATCTTTATTCTTTTTGTTCGTAAAGAAGTTGCTTTATACTTTGCCGGTACTCAGTAATGTTTGTTTCTGCTTTTCCATTTTCCTGCAAGTTACTGTGAGGGAAACCTCAGGCCTCTAACCGCTGTGTCTTCAGTAGAAGATAAGATAAGCAAAGGGAGTCCTTTCACGATTAGAGGCTTCATCTTTCCGTAGATAATTCCTTCTGCAAATGGTTTCCTAGAAGATTTCACACCATTTCACGCTCCAGTTTTATTTTATTGCTTATTTATATCCAAACCTTTATTATTTTTGCAAAGAACTCCAGGCAGCCAATATATCAAACACAACTTTCTCCTCTTATTTTCCTCATAAGAACAGCCCTGCCGTGAGGTGGCTTGGACTGAGAGAGAGGGACTGGCCCAATGTCACCCAGTGAGATTGCCTAAAGTGGGACTAGAACTCACCGTCTCCTCGTGATTGGCCTGAAGTCACCCAGCTGGTTTTCATGTCTAAGGTGGGACTAGAGCTCACAGTCTCCTGTGATTGGCCCAAAGTCACCCAGCTGGCTTCCATGCCCAAGGCAGGACTAGAACTCACAGTCTACTGGTCCTCGGCTCTTAAGTAGCTGATAAGCTGGTGGTAAATCAGCACTCCTATTGACGGGCAAGGGGCCCATTTCCCAGGCTGCAATCATTTTCCCTGGCTGTTTTTGTCCCTTCTCAGCCAACAATCTTAGTAGCTGCAAAATTGAATGTTTGTGTCCTCGTTTGCCACAAAAGTGAGGCTACCCATGAGTTCGGGTCTCCTCATCTGACCACTCACTTGGGTTCTTGTAATCTGGGTTGTAAAATTATAAAACTTTAAAAATTTTAAAGGTGATAAGTAGGGAAGTTCTTAAGCTTTTAGAAGACCAAGGACCCACAGCAATGTTGAAGGCGGGCTGTTCATATTTAACTGGAGAGATTTAGAACAGCTTATGTCAAGAGTCCTCAAACTTGGCAGCTTTAAGACTTGTGGACTTCAACTCCCAGAATTCTCCAGCCAGCATAGCTGGAGAATTCTGGGAGTTGAAGTCCACAAGTCTTAAAGCTGCCAAGTTTTAAGACTTCTGGCTTATGTGGTGCACAGCCCAGAAGTCGGAAACCTTACCTTCCAAGTGAGAATTGAATTACTATCAGGAAAC